TTGTTAGCTTATGTGACCATTCACAATACAGAGCCATGTTTTACGTTCCATTAATAGAGGAGTGGAATTTATGTATGAATGCTCATAAAGGAGTCTAAATGCACACATCTGCATGTAAATTTATTCTAGTGGCTAGTATACATGAATGTTGTAGCCGATAGTATGGGTTTACCCCCTCTGAATGGGTGGTGTGAAAGTGTACAGACCAATAGAATTACTAAGAGATAGAAGAGACTGTCAAGTGACAGCACAGCTACTAGGAAATTGCTAGGGTGTGTTTGTACTTACTGTCGTGTTTAAATGACAGGTACTCTTTCATTATGTTATCCAATAGAGCAGGGATGTCAAACTGGCAGCCCTCCAGCTGTTGAGAATCTACAAGTCCCATTATGCCTCTGCCTTTGGGAGTCATGCTTGTAACTGTCAGTCTTGCAGTGCCTCATAGGATTTGTAGTTTGGCAACAGCTGGAGGGTCGTCAGGTTGACACCTGTGCAATAGAGTAAATTATGTTTGTAATAAAGAATAATCATCTATTTTCTTTTCGCAGAAAGTTAGTTTACCCCAGGATTCCAGCGAGTTCACAGACATTGTTGCAATGTTTAGCAAGACAGTCTCCAACCATAAGGTGAAAAAGGTTTGGGGTTGTTAATTCCGACCTCTGGATGCTCTATAATAGGTGTGTTTCCCTTTTATTACTAAAACAATGCTCGGGGATTCTCTCTAATATAAAATGATCTTAAATATATTAATATATTACAGCATATCACTGTATGACTGCAAAATATATAGTACATGTACAGTTGTGCAGGCTTGAAAACTCTGGCAGAAATCGTGAAATCTTGGCATTGATGATGAAAATATGACTGATCATGCCAAAAAACTGTCTTTTATTTAAGAATAGTAATTATATGAAGCCATTTATTATCACATAGTTGTTTTTCTCCTTTTTAAATCATAATGATAGCAGAAATCACCCAAATGGCCCTGATCAAAAGTTTACATACCTTGGATTGTTTGGCCTTGGCACAGACACACAAGGTGACACATACGGGGTTAAAATGGCAATTAAAGTTTAATTTCCCACATCTGTGGCTTTTTTTTAATTGCAATTAGTGCCTATGTATAAATAGTCAATGAGTTTGTTAGCGCTCATGTGGATTCACTGAGTAGGCTAGATACTGAGCCATGGGGAGCAGAAAAGAACTGTCAAAAGACCTGGTAATAAGGTAATGGAACTTTATAAAGATGGAAGTGGATATAAAAAGACATCCAAAACCTTGAAAATGCTAGTGAGTACTCTGATCAATCAAGTTTTGGGTGCCGGACAGGTAGTTTTTTCTACCTTTAGCCCTGCTGCAGGCAAGCAGCAGGCTCACTTGTCAGGTGGAAGCATTCAGGCAGTAGCAGCGCCACCCAATTGCTTCTACACAGTGCCAGCCTCTGCCCCCCCCCCCCCCGAGAGGTCTACCAGGCTCCGCTTGTCCATCTGCAGGCCTGGGACTGGCTCACCATCGTCAGCTAGAGGGGAGTGAGGAGAGCGGACACGTCCGCTCCCCTCCCCATCTTGTCCTGACCTGAAAGTGAAGTTATGATGTCACTTCCGGGTCCTAGTTGAGTGATTCCCGGCCATGGAGGCTGGGAAAAAAAATGTAATGCGGTGTGCACTGCAGTGCATTCAGTGGAGCACAGGGGGGGAGACATGCAGGGTCACCAAAAAATCATCACATAGGGGACTTTTTCCCCTATGTGATGAAAAAAAAAAGTGAAAAAAATGTTTTTCATTGTAAAAAAAATTGAGGCACCCCACCCCCACATATACACACGAACAAAAGTAAAAGCACACGCTGGGGTGCCTTCGCGTGAAAACGTCGATTGCGATACACATGTCACATATCACCACACATGCCAGAATGAGAGCAATACATCTAGCATGAGATCTCCTCCAAAAGGCTAAACTGATGACCTATAAGGAGCTTTAAAAGTGTCACCTATAGAAAATATAGGGTACTGAAGTTCATTGCCATTTCACGAGAAATTTAAGGTGTGACAAGTTGGATATCTATTTACTCGCTGCAACCTCATCTTTTATATTTTACAAAAAATAGGATAATTTATTGCTTTTTTTGTGCCCTAAAAGTAACTTACTTGTATTTTTTACTGAAATTTTTTGCGGTAATATCATACGACATAAAAAATTGGAACTACCACTATTTTATTCTCTAGGGTCTCTGAAAATATATAATGTTTGATGGTTTTGTGTAATCTTCAAGCCTAAAATGATTTTTTAAACTTGTGCAAAAAATGTAAAAATGGCTCTGGCAGCGAAAGGGATAAAGGATAAGCCTGACACTCCCCTTTCATGACAGGCACCCAATCAGTGCTCATTGCACTGCAAGGTCTCTCCCCTCCCTGCTAGTCCCCGGGGTGTGGTGCTGGAGACAGGCAGGGAGAAAGAAACAGGGCAATGTTAAAAATATTAAATGTTTAAGTCGCCATAAAGCCCCTTTTGTTTTTAAAAGCCCCAGACATTCCTAAAATCACCTCCGATTTAACGTCTTCACACGGCCGGCCGCACAGAAATGTGCAGCCTCCCGGCATCTGGGCCTAGACGCTGAGTGGCTGCACATTTGTGTGCAATTAAGAAAAACACACTTGTGTTGAGAGCGTGCACCCTGCACACTCCCCGCACACTTGTCTGGTACTCACGGAAAGGTCCCGATCTCTCTTTCAATCAGTACCTTTCCCGATCATGTGACAGCGAATCACGGCGGTCACATGACCCTAAAACCCCCCTGCCTCCCGGCTTCTGAAACCCTTAAAGCGCCGGGAGGCACCGGCGCCAAGGGGTTAAATACAGTTTCGGTTAAAATTTATTGATTGATGGCAAGATGAATGCAGCATATTTTCAGAAAATACTGGCAGGCAATTTGCATTGTTTCTGCACAAAAGCTGCCCATTGGACACTCCTGGACTTTCGAAAAATGTGAAGGTTCTGGAGTGGCCATCATAGTCTCCTGGCCTTAATATCATCGAGCCACTCTGGAGAGATCTTAAATATGCAGTTCATGCAAGACGACCAAAGACTTTGCATGACCTGGAGGCATTTTGATAAGATGAATGGGCAGCTATACCACCTGCAAGAGGTTGGGGCCTCATAGACAACTATTACAAAAGACTGCACACTGTCATTGATGCTAAAGAGGGCAATACACAGTATTCAGAACTAAGGGTATGCAGACTTTTGAACAGGAGGCATTTCATTTGTTTACTTGTTGCCATATTTTTGCTTTATGGTTGTGCCATTCTGTTATGACCTACAGTTAAATATAAATCCCATAAGAAATAAAAGAAATGTGTTTTGCCTTCTCACTCATGTGTTCTTTAAAAATGGTACATACTGTATATTCTCCAAGGTTATGCAAACTTTTGAGTGCAACTGTGTTACACAGTATCACAATGTGACTACTGAATATATTCACACAATACACAGTATCACAGTATAACTTCTGAGTATATTCATGTGTTACACATATTCACAATATGACTGTGGAATACAGTATATTCATACATCACACAATATCACTATGTGACTGTAAAATATAAGAACACAAGTTGCAACAGGCACAGTTCTCACAAGCTTTAACATAGGAGCGCATATCCTTGTGGATTGTAGACTACCAAAGGTTGAAAGAAAGCAGAGAAAGTGTCTTGGCAATACCTGGGTGTCTCTCCATCTTGTCAACATTATGTGCTTCTCATAGGACTTTGAGTCTGTGTCACGTACCTGATAGGAGACTGAATTGACGAGGTCAGCCTCACTTGTGTCACTAGCCCTGACTCTGCTGAGGTTGGAACAGAGGGAGTCTAGGGACCAGGGGGACAAGAGCGCCAGAGGTTTGTTGCAGCTCTTGCGGATGATGACCTTGGTAGGCAGGATATCCTCTGATTTGGGCACTGTAGAAATTGACCAGGCAGGAACAGTGTATTGCCGGATGCACAGCAGAGCCAAGTATGTAGCCAGGACACAGGACTGGAGCGGAGTCGTAGGATAGCCAGGGTCATAACAGTTGGGCAGCGCGGTACAGGATCAGAAGGAAAAAGCCAAAGTCAGGATCAGAGCCGAAGTCAGGAACCGGGGGGCAGGAGTGTACTCAGAGTCGGGTCAGGGACAAGCCGGGTCAGCACCAAAGGAATCGCACAGGAATAAGCAGCACACAGGGGGAGCTGAAGACCAGTCAGCACTGAATCTGGGCAGAGGCGCACCTTAAATAGCCCTTCTGGCGCCAATCTTCGCCGTGCGTGTGCACATGTGCATGCATGTGCGCGATCGCGCATTCCTGTGTGCCTGCGCACAACCGGCAATTCTTCTGCGGGAACTCTTTGGCACATGTTCGTTCCGGAAATCCCTTACAGTCTGAGGTAAAGTGGAACAAATCGCTGAAGATAAGTAGGTTGGGGCATCAGACTCAGAAAGAGTAGAGTAGATCTGAGCAGGAGGCAAAATGCTATTTCCATGGAACAAGATTCGTAGCTGCAGAATAGGGCATTCGGCTTAAAGTTTTTGGAGCCTGAGCGGGTGAAGAACCCCCACCCAATCCCCACCAATATCACCACATCCCCAAAGCCCACTTGATGGCTAAACATCCACAGTTCCCAGTGTCATAATCGGTTTTTCCGCACTAGAACATTTATGGTAAAAATATGCACGTGCAGCTAATTAGAGGATGAAAAGGGTTGAAAGAGGACTGCGCCAACACTGACATCTGATGTGTCAGCCTCCACGAAGAATGGTAATTCAAAAAATTCGATTCGACGAACGGGATTTCGGCGAATTCGTTGGAAAATATTCGATTCGAGTCGAATATATTCGCTGTGAATTTAACTTAAAAAAGGGTGTTTCTAGGCTTCAGAGAGACTTAATAATTAGTGCAGAACACTGTACCTTTAATTTATAAATGCCCTTGGAAGTCTGCTGGGGAAGAGAAATAATACTGTCAGTCAGTATGACATGCAGATGAGTGCCGTCGATCTTTAGAGATCAATCACCGCACACATTACTCATTTGGTCCAGTCACGGGGCCAAAAACCAGTGTTTGGAGCCACAGTGTGGCGCGGGGAGGCAGCAGCAATGGGAGAGCCATACAGCAACCTATGGCAAAATAGGAAACCAGCAGGAGTGTGAGGAGACCTGAAGTAGGCACATGGCAGAGTGGGAGCAATGGGAAGGGCGGTACAGGGAAACCCATGTCACACTGTGGACCCAGCAGCAGCGTGACGAGGCGCGTACTACGGGGGCCCATGGCAGACTTGGGGGCCTGGCAGCACCTATAGGAGGCCTGTAATCTGCCAGCAACCTATGACAGAAATGGAAACCAGCAGGAGTGTGAGGAGGTGACCGTGAAAGTGGCACATGGCAGAGTGGGGGAGCAATGGGAGGCAGGTACAGGGACCCATGTCCACACTGTGGATCCCACTGCAGCAGCAGTGACCAGGCGGTAAGAGCCGGGGAGGTACCGGGGCCCATGGTAGATTACAGGCCTGGCAGCAGCAATGGGAGGCCCGTAATCTGCCAGCACCCTATGGCAACAAAAAATGGAACACACCAGCAGTGTGTGAGGAGACCTGAAAGTGGCACATGGCAGAGTGTGGCGATGGAGACAGCAGCAATGGGAGGCCGTACAGGGACCCATGAGAGACTGTGGACCTAGCAGCAGCATGAGGAGCGGTGTAGGGGGCCCATGGGATCAGATTAGGGGCCTGGCAGCAGCTATGGGAGGCCCGTAATCTGCCAGTCACCTATGTCAAAAAATTCAACACACCTGCAGTGTGAGGAGACCCTGAAAGAGTGGCACATGGCAGAGTGTGGCGATGGAGACAGCAGCAATGGGAGGCCGTTTTACAGGGACCCATGAAAGACTCGTTCTGACTTGCCTAGCAGCATGAGGAGGCGGTATAGGGGCCCATGGCAGATTAGGGGCCTGGCAGCAGCTATGGAGGCCCGTAATCTGCCAGCACCCCAATGTCATAAAAATTAACACACCAGCAGTGTGAGGAGGACCTGAAAGTGGTCCACATGGCAGAGTGTGGCGATGGAGACAGCAGCAATGGGAGGCCGTACTGGGACCCATGAGAGACTCTGGACTTGGCAGCAGCATGAGGAGGCGGTAGGTATATAGGGGCCCATGGCAGATTAGGGGCCTGGCAGAGAAGCTATGGGAGGCCCGTAATCTGCCAGCACCCTATGACAAAAAAATGGAACACAACCAGCAGTGTGAGGAGACCAGAAAGGGCACATGTTTGGGGGGCATGTTTCATGGCGGATTTAGGATTTAGTCAGTTGTGTCCAGGAACTAGTGGTTTTGATATCCAGTACTAATCCAAGACGCCTGATTCATTTTCACAACCGTGAGTCTCTCCAACACTTTGGGGGTGGACAGTAGTGGGGGGGTGTCCTCCACGGACGTTGCAATACCTCCTGCCGCACTAAACACGGCGCTCCGATGCCACGCTACTGGCCGGGCAATGACAGCCTTTCAAGGGCAAATTCAGCTAGTTGGGGCCAAAGGTCAAGTTCGTTGCCCAGTAGTCAAGGGGATTGTCTACCTCGGTTGGCAGGGTGCTGTCCAAGTAGGCACCAAGCCTGTTGTTTGAGGTCCTGCTACAGGTCCACCTGTGCTGCTGCTGCTGCCTGCTGCTGCTTGCATGGTTAGTAGTTTCCTCACTGCGCTTGGTGAAGAAAGCTACTCATCATCGACTGCAGACTGAGGCAGCCGTCTGTGGGGGAGCTGCCACTGCTCCTACCACCCCAACCCCACCTCCATGCTGCCATGGCAGCGGAACGCGAGCGCACAGGGCCCAACAGTGTCTGAGGTATGGAACGTTGGCGCACAAAGGCAGAGGACCAACTGACTACATAGGTGGTTTTTATAGTACGTTATTTTGGCCTCCCTCTCAGCAGGTGTGAAAAAGGTCCACCATTTTGGAACGGTAGCGAGGGTCCAACAAGGTGGACAGCCAAAAGTCATGCCTCTGTCTGATGGTTATTTATTTCGGCTGTCGCTACGTCGCAAGCAAAGATCCGAGCATGCTCATGGGCCCATTTGTGCCAAGGAATGCGAGGGACTCCCTGCCTCCATCTCCACAGCATACTTGCCACGGTGCGTCCAGGGTCCTCTGTCTCCTCCTCCTCCTCCTCTACCAGATGCTCCATGCTCCTCCACTCCCCTGTCCGCTGAGTGGAAAAAACCACCCCATTTCACTCAATAATTCCTGAGCTACCCAATGTCCTCCTCTATTCTCCTCCTCTTCTTCCTGTCCCTGCCACCACAGGGGTCATGTGGCGTTGAGATCTGTGCGCCACGTCTACCGCACCCTGACCAGCCAATTGTTAACAGCATTTGTTCCAGGACGTGCAACAGAGGAATGACGTCGTTCATATGATAGCGTTCATCCCATAAGTCCTGCACGACTCACGAATAGCGTGGCCTCCTCAAAGGGCCTGGAGCAAGCGCTAGGTGTCACGCATGAGCTGCCAATGGCTTGACATCGAAGTTACACAGGGAGTACCTTTTTATCCGCTTGTAACATCAGGAAATCGGTGATGGCCTTTCGCTGTTCGTTCAAAAGGCGGTCTAACATGTGTAGGGTTGAATTCCACCTTTGTTGCAACTCGCAGATCAGGCGATGCTGTGCAATTCCGTTCTGCCGCTGCAGTTCAAGGAGGGTGTGCTTTGCGGTGTAGGAATGGCTGAAATGCATGCAAAGTTTACGTGACATTTTACAAGGATGTTCTTGCAGTGGGGATGGTGGATTTTATGAACTGCTTGACAACCAGATTGAACACGTGAGCCATGCATGGCGCATGGCACAACCTTACTTGACGCAGAGAGCAGACACCATGTTCTTTCCGTTGTCGGTCAACATGGTTCCGATTTTCAGTTTGCGCGGAGACTGCCCATCTGTCGATTTTCTCTGTTCATTACACTGAGAAGTTCCTCCCCTGTGTGACTACGTTCGCCCTGGACCTAGCAGCAGCATGAGGAGGCGGTATAGGGGCCCATGGCAGATTAGGGGCCTGGAGCAGCCCTATGGGAAGGCCCGTAATCTGCCAGCACCCTATGTCAAAAAAATTCAACACACCAGCAGTGTGTGAGGAGACCTGAAAGTGGCACATGGCAGAGTGTGGCGAGGGAGACAGCAGCAATGGGAGGCCCGTACAGGGGACCCATGAGAGACTGTGGACCTGGCAGCAGCATGAGGAGGCGGGTATATAGGGGCCTATGGCAGATTAGGGGCGCCTGGGCAGCAGCTATAGGAGGCCCGTAATCTGCCAGCACCCTATGTCAAAAAATTCAACACACCAGCTGTGTGACGGAGACCTGAAAGTGGCACATTGGCTATGAGAGGGACTGTGGACCTGGCCAGCAGCATGAGGAGGCGGTTATAGGGGCCCATTGGCAGATTAGGGGCCTGGCAGCAGCTATGGGAGGCCCGTAATCTGCCAGCACCCTATGTCAAAAAATTCAACACACCAGCAGTGTGTGAGGAGACCTGAACAGTGGCACATGGCAAGAGGTGTTGGCGATGGAGACAGCAGCAGATGGGAGGCCGTACAGGGACCATGAGAGACTCTGGACCTGGCAGCAGCAGCATGAGGAGGCGGGTATATAGGGGGCCTATGGCAGATTAGGGGCCTGGCAGCAGCCTTATAGGAGGCCCGTAATCTGCCAGCACCCTATGTCAAAAAATTCAACACACTCCAGCAGTGTGAGGAGACCTGAAAGTGAGGCACATGGCAGAGTGTGGCGATGGAGACAGCATCGCAATGGGAGGCCCGTACAGGGACCATGAGAGACTCTGGACCTGCAGCAGCCATGAGGAGGCGGTATATAGGGGGGGCCTATGGCAGATCAGATATGGGGCCTGGCAGCAGCTATAGGAGGCCCGTAATCTGCCAGCACCCTATTTCAAAAAATTCAACACACCAAGCAGTGTGAGGAGACCTGAAAGTGGCACATGGCAGGAGTGTGGCGATGGAGACAGCAGCAATGGGAGGCCGTACAGGGACCGCATGAGAGACTCTGGACTTGGCAGCAGCATGAGAGGCGGCCGAGTATATAGGGGCCCATGGCAGATTAGGGGCCTGGCAGCAGCTATGGGGGGGCCCCCGTAATCTGCCAGCGCACCCTATGTCAAAAAAAAAATTCAACACACCAGCAGTGTGTGAGGAGACCTGAAAGTGGCACATGGCAGAGTGTGGCGATGGAGAAGACAGCAGCAATGGGAGGCCGTACAGGGGACCCATGAGAGACTGCGGACCTGGCAGCAGCATGAGGAGGCGGTATATAGGGGCCTATGGCAGATTAGGGGCCTGGCAGCAGCTATAGGGAGGCCCGTAATCTGCCAGCACCCTATGTCAATAAATTCAACACACCAGCAGTGTGAGGGAGACCTAGAAAGTGGCACATGGCAGAGTGTGGCGATGGAGACCAGCAGCAATGGGAGGCCGTACAGGGACCCAATGAGAGACTCTGGACCTGGGCAGCAGCAGGATGGAGGCGGTAATATAGGGGCCTAAGGCGATAGGGGCCTGGCAGCAGCTTACTTAGGGAGGCCCGTAATCTGTCAGCACACTATGTCAAAAAATTCAACCACACCAGCAGTGTGAGGAGAGACCTGAAAGTGGCACATGGCATGAGAGACTGTGGACCTGGCAGCAGCATGATGGAGGCGGTATAGGGGCCCATGGCAAGATTAGGGGCCCTGGGCAGCAGCTATAGGAGGCCCGTAATCTGTCCGCACCCTATGTCAAAAAGCATTCAACACACCAGCTAGTGTGTGAGGTGACCTGGGAGAGTGGCACCATGGCAAGAGTGTGGCGATGGAGACAGCAGCCAATGGGAGGCCGTACAGGGGACCCATGAGAGACTCTGGGACTGCTGGCAGCAGCATGAGGAGGCGGTGAATATAGGGGCCTATGGCAGATTAGGGGCCTGGCAGCAAGCTATGGGAGGCCCCGTAATCTGCCAGCACCCTATGTCAAAAAATTCAACACACCAGCAAGTGTGTGAGGAGGAGACCTGAAAGTGGCACATGGCAGAGTGTGGCGATGGACGACAGCAGCAAATGGGAGGCCGTACAGGGACCCATGAGAGACTCTGGACCTGGCAGTCGCAAGCATTGAGGGAGGCGGTATTATAGGGGCCCATGGCAGATTAGGGGCCTGGCAGCAGCTATGGGAGGCTCCCCGTAATCTGCCAGCACCCTATGTCAAAAAAATTCAACACACCCAGCAGTGTGTGAGGAGACCTGAAAGTGGCACATGGCATGAGAGACTGTGGACCTGGCAGCAGCATGAGGAGGCGGGTATATAGGGGCCCATGGCAGATTAGGGGCCTGGCAGCAGCTAATGGGAGGCCCGTAATCTTGCCAGCACCCTATGTCAAAAAATTCAACACACCAGCATGTGTGAGGAGACCTGAAAAGTGGCACATGGCAGAGTGTGGCGATGGAGACGCAGCAATGGGAGGCCGTACAGGGACCCATGAGAGCGAGACTGCGGACCTCGCAGCAGCATGAGGGTGGCGGTATATAGGGGCCTATGGCAGATTAGGGGCCTTGGCCAGCAGCTATAGGGAGGCCCGTAATCTGTCAGCACCCTATGTCAAAAAATTCAACACACCAGCAGTGTGTGAGGAGACCTGAAAGTGGCACATGGCAGAGTGTGGCGATGGAGACAGCAGCAATGGGAGGCCCGTACAGGGACCCATGGAGAGACTCTGGACTTGGCATAGCAGCATGAGGAGGCGGTATATAGGGGCCCATGCAGATTATGGGGCCTGGCAGCAGCTTATGGGAGGCCCGTAATCTGGCAGCAACACCTATGTCAAAAAAATTCAACACACCAGCAGTGTGAGGAGACCTGAAAGTGGCACATGGCAGAGTGTGGCGATGGAGACAGCAGCAATGGGGAGGCGCGTACAGGGACCCATGAGACTCTGGACCTGGCAGCAGCATGAGGGAGGCGGGTATATAGGGGCCCATGGCAGATTAGGGGTCCTGGCAGCAGCTAATGGGGGAGGCCCGTTAATCTTGCCAGCACCCTATGTCAAAAAAATTCAACACACCAGCAGTGTGAGGAGACCTGAAAGTGGCACATGGCAGAGTGTGGCGATGGAGACAGCAGCAATGGAGGCCGTACAGAGGGACCCATGAGAGACTCTGGACCTGGGCAGCAGCATGAGAGAGGCGGTATATAGGGGGCACTTGGCAGATTAGGGGCCTCGCAGCAGCAGTATGGGAGGGCCCGTAATCTGGCCAGCACCTTATGTCAAAAAAATTCAACACACCAGCAGTGTGAGGAGACCTGAAAGTGGCACATGGCATGAGAGACTGTGGACCCTGGCAGCAGCATGAGGAGGCGGTAATAGGGGCCCATGGCAGATTAGGGGGCCTGGCAGCAGCTCTATGGGAGGCCCGTAATCTGCCAGCACCCTATGTCCAAAAAATTCAACTACACACCAGCAGTGTGTGAGGAGACCTGAAAGTGGCACATGGCAGAGTGTTGGCGATGGAGACAGCAGCAATGGGAGGCCGTACAGGGACCCATGAGAGACTCTGGACCTGGCGAGCAGCATGAGGAGGCGGGTTATATAAGGGGCCTATGGCAGATTAGGGGCCTGGCAGAGAGCAGCTAGGGGAGGCCCGTAATCTGCCAGCACCCTATGTCAAAAAATTCAACACACCAGCAGTGTGTGAGGAGACCTGAAAGTGGGCACATGGCAGAGTGTGGCGATGGAGGAGATCAGCAGCAATGGGAGGCCGTACAGGGACCCATGAGAGACTCTGGACCTGGCAGCAGCATGAGGAGGCGGTTATATAGGGGCCCATGGCAGATTTGGGGCCTGGCAGCAGCTATGGGAGGCCCGTAATCTGCCAGCACCCTATGTCAAAAAATTCAACACACCAGCAGTGTGAGGAGACCTGAAAGTGGCACATGGCATGAGTAGACTGTGGACCTGGCAGCAGCATCCATGAGGAGGCGGTATAGGGGCCCATGGCAGATTAGGGCCTGGCAGCAGCTATGGGAGGCCCGTAATCTGCCACCCAGCACCCTATGTCAAAAAATTCAACACACCAGCAGTGTGTGAGGAGACCTGAAAGTGGCACATGGCAGAGTGTGGCGATGGAGACAGCAGCAATGGGAGGCCGTACAGGGACCCATGAGAGACTCTGGACCTGGCAGCAGCAACATGAGGAGGCGGTAGGTATATTTATATAGGGGCCTTATGGCAGAGTTAGAGGGCCTGGCAGCAGGCTATGGAGGCCCGTAATCTGCCAGCACCCTATGTCAAAAAATTCAACAACCACCAGGCAGTGTGTGAGGAGACCTGAAAGTGGCACATGGCAGAGTGTGGCGATGGAGATGACAGCAGCAATGGGAGGCCGTACAGGGACCCATGAGAGACTCTGGACCTGGCAGCAGCATGAGGAGGCGGTATATAGGGCCCACTTGGCAGATTAGGGGCCTGGCAGCGCAGCTATGGGAGGCCCGTAATCTGCCAGCACCCTATGTCAAAAAATTCAACACACCAGCAGTGTTGAGGAGACCTGAAAGTTGGCAGCAGAGATGGCATGAGAGACTGTGACCTGGCAGCAGCATGAGGATGCGGTATAGGGGCCCATGGCAGATTAGGGGCCTGGCAGCAGCTATGGGAGGCCCGTAATCTGCAGACTACCCTATGTCAAAAAAATTACAAACACACCAGCAGTGTGTGAGAGGAGACCTGAAAGTGGCACATGGCACGAGTTGTGGCGATGGCGAAGGACAGCAGCAAATGGGAGGCCGTACAGGGACCATGAGAGACTCTGGACCTGGCAGCAGCATTTGAGGAGGGCGGGTGGGGTATATAGGGGCCCATGGCAGATTAGGGGCCTGGCAGCATGCATATGGGAGGCCCGTTAATCTGCCAGCACCCTATGTCAAAAAAATTCAACACACCAGCAGTGTGAGGAGACCTGAAAGTGGCACATGGCATGAGAGACTGTGGACCTGGCAGCAGCATGAGGAGGCGGTCTCGGTATATAGGGCGCCCATGGCAGATTATGGGGCCTGGCAGCAGCTTTGGGAGGCCCGTAATCTGCCAGCATCCCTATGTCAAAAAAATTCAACACACAAAGCAGTGTGTGAGGAGACCTGAAAGTGGCACATGGCAGAGTGTGGCGATGGAGACAGCAGCAATGGGAGCCGTACAGGGACCCATGAGGAGGACTACTGGACCTTGGCAGCCAGCAGCATGAGGAGGCGGTATATAGGGGCCTATGGCAGATTAGGGGCCTGGCAGCAGCTATAGGAGGCCCGTAATCTTGCCAGCACCCCTATGTCAAAAAATTCAACACACACTGCAGCAGTGTGAGGAGACCTGAAAAGTGGCACATGGCCAGAGTGATGGCGATGGAGACAGCAGCAATGGGAGGGCGTACAGGGACCCATGAGAGACTCTGGACTTGGCAGCAGCGATGAGGAGGCGGTATATAGGGAGACCCATGGCAGATTGGGGCCTGGCAGCAGCTAATGGGAGGCCCCGTAATCAGCCAGCACCCTATGTCAAAAAATTCAACACACCAGCAGTGTGTGAGGAGACCTGAAAGTGGCACATGGCAGAGTGTGGCGATGGATGGACAGCAGCAATGGGAGGCCCGTACAGGGACCCATGAGAGACTCTGGACCTGGCAGCAGCATGAGGAGGCAGGTTATATAGGGGCCATGGCAGATTAGGGGCCTGGGCAGCAGCTATAGGAGGCCCGTAATCTGCCAGCACCCTATGTCAAAAAATTCAACACACCAGCAGTGTGAGGAGACCTGAAAGTGGCACATGGCAGAGTGTGGCGATGGAGACAGCAGCAATGGGACGGCCGTACAGGGACCCCATGAGAGACTCTGGACTTTGTGGCAAGGCAGCATGAGGGAGGCGGGTCATTATATAGGGGCCTATGGCAGATTAGGGGCCTTGCAGCAGCTATGGGAGGCACCGTATCTGCCAGCACCCTATGACCAAAAAATGGAACACACCAGCAGTGTGTGAGGAGACCTGAAAGTGGCACCTATGGTTTGAGGCATGATTCAATGGCGGATTTAGTCAGTTGTGTCAGGAACTGGTGGTTTGAAATCCAGACTAATCCACGCCACTGATTCATTTTCACAAACGTGAGTCTCTCCACACTTTGGGTGGACAGTCGTGTCCTCCGCGGAGTTACAATACCCTACCTGCCGCACTAAACACGCGCTCCGATGCCACGCTACTGGCCGGGCATCCTGGGGGGACAGCCTTTCAAAGGCAAATTCTAGCTAGTTGGGGTCCCCCCCCCCCCCCCCACCCCCAAAGGTCAAGTTTCGTTGCCCAGTAGTCAAGGGGGTTTGTCTACCTCGGTTGGCAGGGGTGCTGTCCAAGAAGGGGCCCAAGCCTGTTGTTTGAGGTCCTGCTCCAGGGTCCACCTGATGCTGCTGCTGATTGCTGCTGCGGACTGGTTAGTAGTTTTCCTCAACTGCGCTGGTGAAGAAGAAAGCTACTCATCATCGACTGCAGACTTGAGGCAGCCGCTGCTGGTGGAGCTGCCACTGCTCCTACCACCCACCCCTCCCCTGCTGCCATGGCAGCGGAACGCGAGCGCACAGGGCCCCACAGTGTCTGAGGATGGACGTTGGCGCACAAAGGCAGAGATCCAACTGACTACATAGGTGGTTTTTATTAGAGTACGTTATTTTGGCCTCCCTCTCAGGCAAGGTGTGAAAAAGGCCACCATATTTGGAACCGGTAGCGAGGGTCCAACAAGGTGGACAGCCCAAAAGTCATGCCGTCTGTCTGATGGTTATTATTTCGGGTCTGTCGCTACGCAAGCAACCGAGCATGCTATGGGCCATTTTGTGCCAAGGAATGCGAGGGACTCCCTGCCTCCATCTCCACAGCATACTGCCACGGTGCGTCTGGGTCCTCTGTCTCCTCCTCCTCTCCTCTACCAGATGCTCCTGCTCCTCCACTTCCTGTCCGCTGAGTGGCAAAAACCACCCAATTTCACTCAATAATTCCTGAGCACAAATGTCCTCCTCTACCTCCTCCTCTTCTTCCTGTCTCCTGCCCCCCACAGGGGTCATTGTGGCGTTTGAGATCTGTGCGCCACGTCTACCGCACCCTGACCAGCCATTGTTAACAGCATTTGTTCAAGGACGTGCAACAGAGGAATGACGTCGTTTCATGGACCCCATTGTCCGAGCCGACTCACGAATAGTGTGGCCTCCTCAAAGGGCCTGAGCAAGCGGCAGGTGTCACGCATGAGCTGCCAATGGCTGACATCGAAGTTACACAGGGGAGTACCTTTTATCCGCTTGTAACATCAGGAAAAACGGTGATGGCCTTTCGCTGCTCGTAAGGCGGTCCTAACATGTGTAAGGGTTGAATTCCACCTTGTTGCAACGTCGCAGATCAGGCGATGATGTGGAATTCCCGTTCTCTGTGCCCGCTGCCAGCTCAAGGAGGGTGATGCTTTGGGCGGTGTAGGAATGGCTGGAAATGCATGCAAAGTTTACGTGACATTTTAAAGATGTCTTGCAGTGGGGATAGGTGGATTTTAGGAACCGCTTGACAACCAGATTGAAACACGTGAGCCATGCATGGCGTAAAAAGGGCGCATGGGCACAACCTTCCTTGACGCAGAGCAGACACCATGTACTTTCCGTTGTCGGTCACATTAGGTCCGATTTCAGTCGTGCGCGAGAGACAGCCATCTGTCGATTTCTCTGTTCATTACACTGAGAAGAAGTTCCTCCCCTGTGTGACTACGTTCAGCCAAGGGCATACCAGGTGGCAGAACAGCGTGACACCAGTATTGCGCCCGATGCACATTTGATATGCAGCCTATGGGTAGGGTAATCGTGCCACCTATGGGACAACTTGGGCCACTATAGCTGGGGGGGTGCGTGGCGGCTGGGTTGGACCACGGCGGAAGAAGAGGGTGGTTAGATGCAGGACATCTTTTTTTGGACCAAGGACGTGCAGAACTCTGGAGTCAAAAGCGGCTTGAGACCTGTCCAAGTATTGGCAGGTCGCGGCAATGTGAGGCAACCCACGTTCAGCCCGACTACAGGGGGCCATTGGCCGTAATATGACATGTACTGTCCCATTACCGAAAGTTACAAGCTCCACCACGACGGCGCTGAGGCCGTGCAGACTTTGCAAGAGACCGACATAGAGCTCAAAGACTGTGGCCCACCATGTCTTCTTACATGTGAATGCAGGGCTGGCATACTGGCCTTTTTTTGGCGAAGAAATGAACGGCTTGGCACTCTTCACCGCGGCGCAGCACAAGCCAGCCCTAAATCTCGGAAAGGTGCTGAAGTCCACACTTGGAAAGGGAGGGACTGCAGCACCAGCTCTAACTTGGGACAGGAGGACGTTCAAGCTTTTGGCACCGTCGGGTGCCGTGCTCGCAATACTGTTGTCACGTGGAAGTAAACGGGATTCCAAGAAAGACTGCTGACGGAATCCGCTGAAGAGGATAGGCAGGCGAGAAGGAGCATCTGAAACGATTGCGGAAGATGCCCAACGAGCGACAACTGTCCCCTCAGCAGAGGTGTTGGAGCCAGCTTTGAAGCTGGCTGATAGAGGGCGTAATTGACGACGGGTGACGAAAGCAAGTAACTGAGCGGGTGATGGAGACTGGGGGCTGGGGCATGCAGAGAACCGCCGTTATCTTTAAATCCACGGTTTTCCCAGGCCACCAAAAGGCGACGGCTGCAATATGCAGTAGGCCTGCGCGCAACGCTGTAGAGTACCCAACATGGGGGCACCCTGGCCACCGCTTTTGACTTTCTCTGGCCACATAGACTATGTCAAATAACGGCTACGTTTAGCACTTCCTCGGGCGGCTTGAACGAAAAATTGCCACACCGCCGAGTAGGCAAACTTTGCCCACCGATGAGACTCCCTCAGCCTCCGCTGGCT